GCACACTGAATCCGGCATGCTGCATAACACCCATGCAACAGCCCTACATTGGATCCAGGACATAAACTGATTTCCATGCGTGGGATCTAGCCCACAGACCAGACCCATGCCACTCACCTGTCCTGCAGGGCTAGATAGGATGTGAACCACTGTAGTACACAAACAGCCAATGTAAAGTAAATCTAAATCCTTGGATAGGACCATTCACATTGATCTACTATGCTCCCTAAAAGGATTTACGAAAATCATCAAGAAATCTTTGAAGAATGTTAATATAGAGGAAAGAGGGAAATGTTCCTTGTTACAAATACTGGCATGAAACTGAAAAAGAGAAAATTTAAGCAGAATATTCTGAGGCAATTCCTTATACCAACATCCAAATATAAAAGAGGCTCAACTAGGAACATAGTAGGATCCCTACCATGTTGTTGTACAACACACTACAGGGAACAATCTATCTTGCCCTGGCACCCAAAGAATGGAGATGGTCACCTGAAAGGTATTTTGCAACTCTGCTTATTATTTTTGGAGAGTCTTTCACCTGATATTTTATTATAAGCACTATAATCGGGTGCTATGTTTACTATTCAACTTGTTTATAGAAGAAACCTGCAAACATTTTCTATTGCATATGAGGGAGGAATGAAAGGGAAAGGAGAATGGAAGAAGGTTATAAATGGAGAAATTGGTATAAAGAAACACAGAAGTTTCTAGAATGGCTTATTCAAGAGCATTCTGTAGTCCTAGAAGTGATCAGCTTCAGAACTCTGAACAACTACAAAAACTGGTGGTGCACCACTTACATCACTGCAAGTTTTGCAGTTGACTTCAGTGGACAGGATGACATCTTGGATTGAGTGCTCCAGATATAACAGAAAGCCAAGCAAACCATACTCCAGTCAACTGTATGGTCTATCAACCCAACATTACCACATTTCGGTTGTTCAGTTGGCTGACGTGCAAAAATGTGTAGCTGACTCATACCTGAGAGATGTAATGGTAACCTTTTCATGCTCTTGTAATAGTACAAATGTAACGAAGCCAAAATAATACTACTAATACATTTTACTACCATATCACCCCTCCCTTTGCATCTTTCTGTTGGCTCCCCTTTTCTCTACCACATTAAATATATGCTACTGATATTCTTTTTCAAAGCCTTTTGGCTTATCCACTCTACATTAGCTTTACTTATTCAGGAACTGGACACTGACTTCTGCACCAGACAACCCATGAAGTATATTCATCAGCCACTTATTACATTTTTTAAAAAGCACCTTTGTGCTTTCTCCAGGGTTACCCTCATCCTTGGGGGCAGCTTCCTGTAAACATCCACAAAGTGACTTAATTGCCCTCCTTCAACATATAATCCCGTTTAATTCAGCCTTAAATTTACAGGGCTCTTTAGCTCATTTGTATGACTAACAGTTATAGTGTAACTGCTGATACACTATCAAGCAGAAATCCTTCTCCCCTTTTGAAGCAGTTAAATGTTACTTCTGTCCATAGCCAGAAATTGAATTTTAAAATACTTTCTTAATATATAATGGGATTTAGAAATTTATGTTTTCAAGCTCTCAAAAAAATCAAGAAGATCTGTTCAAAATCAAAATCATCAAAATCTGTTTTTGATCAGAACAGGGCAATAACTTTTTATAAAACTTTAAGAGAAAGAAAGAAATGCACTGCACAAACAACACAAGGCAACAGACTGGACATGCAATTGACTGGAGTATGGTTCTTTGGCTTCTACTATATCTGGAAAACTCAGTCCAAGATGTGATCCTGTCCACTGAAGTCAACTGCAAAGCTCCCAACGATGTCAATACTGCAAGCTCAAGTCTCTAGAGCTTCCCACTGAAGTGAATTGGTAGAAACCTAATTTGTATGATTTATGAAACCAGTAGTTACCCACAGAGATTTAGCTACTTACCTTGATATTTCTGAACTGTGATAAAATAGAGTCCGATGTTCCAAGAGCAGGAATCAATATAAATACAATGCAAAACAAGAAATGGTTTGCCATTTTGGAAAAATTAACAGTTCTCTCATGAAGGGTATATGCTATTAAATAACATCATGTTTACAGAGTGTTAATAAATAAACCAAAGTTAAAAGAGGGGTTAAAAATCAGGCAAACAGGGAGAAAGCAAATACTGAACTTTCAACTTATAATAACACAAGAAAAAAACTGCATATAAATGAAATATTTCTACTAATACGTTCCTTTGCCCATGTAATCTTACCTGAAAATACAAACACAACTATCATACTCATACAGATAATGGTCTACCTCTCTGCTTCACACCTGCTGCTTTCTGTCCAAACTAAGAATATATCTACATAGGAAAACACAGTATTGTACAAAGGTACCCAAGTTAGCTCTAAACAAATTAGGTCAGGTATCAAAAGGAATACCCCACCCTAGCTGATGCAGAACCCCAGCCACGTTAATATTCCTGCTTCTCAGAAGAGCTAATTAGCTCAAAGAACCATACGAACACAGTCATCCCTCTTATAGTACCCAAATTAGCTTATTAACCTAGCTTCAGTATCACTGCATGGTGCAGTATTGTGCCACATACACATATAGGAAAATCTTGCCTAGAGGTGCACTTGATACATCTGTCCAATATCAGATCATTACCGATATAAAGAAAATTGGCTGTCTCAGAAATTGGCCCAATGCGGCCAATAAATGCCCATTCATGTGCACAGCCACAGTGCACCATGCAGGTAGCGAGGAGCACAGCCCAGCAGCTTGGAGACCTGCATACAGCTGGTAAGTCTGGTGTGGTGGACAAGGACAGGGAAGGGAAGGCGTGTGGGGGGCAAATCAATGCCCACCACGGTGAGGAAGGGAGAGGGGCGGGGGCAGGCGCTGCCCAGCCAGGGCAGGGTGCAGGACGGAGCCCTGGCTCATCCCGGGGGGCACGGAGAGGGCATTTGCCCCTTGGATCTCTACAGGGCAGCATGGGCAGGCTGCAGCTGCGTGCTGGAGCCAGAGCTGCACCAGGCTGTTCTTGGAGGGGGCTGGGCTCAGGGTGGGCAGCAACGGTGCTGGGAGAGAGCTACGGGGGGGGAGGGGGTTGCAGCCACACCAAATTTCACCCCCAACCCTCCTCCCAGCACCACCGCCGCCTGCCCCAAGACCAGCCCCCACTGAAGAGCCCAGCGTAGCCCAAGATTCAGCCAGGAGCTGCAGCCCACCATGCCCAGCCAGGGCAGGGTGCAGGACGGAGCCCTGGCTCATCCCGGGGGGCACGGAGAGGGCATTTGCCCCTTGGATCTCTACAGGGCAGCATGGGCAGGCTGCAGCTGCGTGCTGGAGCCAGAGCTGCACCAGGCTGTTCTTGGAGGGGGCTGGGCTCAGGGTGGGCAGCAACGGTGCTGGGAGAGAGCTACGGGGGGGGAGGGGGTTGCAGCCACACCAAATTTCACCCCCAACCCTCCTCCCAGCACCACCGCCGCCTGCCCCAAGACCAGCCCCCACTGAAGAGCCCAGCGTAGCCCAAGATTCAGCCAGGAGCTGCAGCCCACCAGCCCCGTGCAGATCCAGGGGCACATGCCCCCCCCAGCTGTGCCCTCCTAAAGTGCGTGCAGCAGTTGGAGCCGCCCCGCAGCTCTATCCTGTGCCCCACCTCGTCCTCACTACAGGGGGCATTGATCTGCCCCACCACAGCCTTCCCTCCCCTTCCACCACAACTGACTTACTAGCTGGACACAGCTGTATCAAAAAAAGGATTGATATCGGCCAAAATGCCTCCTTAAAAATCGGCTATTGGTATCAGCCCCCAAAATCTCCATTGTGCCTCCCTAATCTTGCCCTTTCTGACATCTGCCTGTAGAGGTCTAGTAGCTGTTAATTTAAATTTAGCATGGCTACAACAGACCTCTAAACCTTTCCTCCATGACTTCTCCACCAGTGCCTTTATACATTACTGTGGCTCATTGGAACCATATTTCTCAGGTGCGCAACTTGAGTCTGACTCAGATCTTTATTTTAGTCCTCGCATTCAGGCTATGTTTAGGTCTTGCAGATTTTTTTTCTGTACCACATAAATATTTTCTAATGGTTTAAGTCTCTGTGGCATGGCTTTTCCTATCCATGCACATAGCCAAAACTCTGGTCCAGGTTTGCCTTGTGCAATCTTGCCCCAGGGTTAGATCCTCCCAGAAGGCTGCAGCTGATGTAAATTTCCCTTTTCACCTTTCTCCTGGCTCCCCTCTTCCCTACTTAATCAAATAGAAGTACTTGTGTTCTTTTCCCCGGCTTATCCACTCTATCCAGGAGCTAGACACTGACTCCTGCACGGATCAGTGCCCATGTGGCCCACATGGTGAAGCCAGTGCCCCTCATTTATTAATTTCATTTTTTAAAAAGGCACCCTTGTTTTCGCCAGTGCTGTCCTCTCTGCTGGGGGGAGCTCCCTTTAGACATCTGCTAAATGACCTCACAGCCCTCCTTCAAAATTGTCCTTGGTCTTGGTAAAACCCTTGGCAGCAGTTCAGCTGCTGACCTGCTAGAGCTAAGGTCAACCGTCCTGACCAAGTTCCTACTTCCTCCCCTCTGGCTCTATCCCTCACCCCCCGGGACTGTCTTTTGCTCTGCTTGGGCAGCCCGAGGGCCCAGCTCCTCACACCGCGCATGGGGATTGCAGTGGGCACGGATGCGGCTCTCCTCTTAGCACGGAGCCAGGAGTGAGCTCCTAGGAAGCAGCGACTAGGCCTAGACTGATGGGGACGCGGTACCCGCAGCTCGGGCAAGGCACTCCACAGCGAACAGTGTCGGACACGGCCTAAAATGGCGGCCGAGACTGGGATGCCCGCACCCAAAATGGTGGCCCGGGCTTGCGGAACGGAGCGTTCAAGATGGCCCCTGCAACTGTAAAGACGGCATGAACGCAAGGCGCGCTGCCCGCGTCCAAGATGGCTGCTTCGGTGACGCGAGCTGCTCTGCGTGCTGCCGCCAGCGCTGTCTGTGGTGGGGGGAGTGGCAGCGGCCCTGGCTTTAGGGCGGCTGCCGGGTGCGTGAGTCCGGGCTGCTCTGGGCCGCCAGCACTGAGGGCTGGCGCGGGCGGGAGGATGCCTCTGGCCGCCTACTGCTTCTTGCGCGTGGTGGGGAAGGGAAGCTACGGGGAGGTGAGCCTGGTGCAGCACCGCCAGGATGCCAAGCAGGTAACAGGGGGCGCCGCGGGGCAGCCGCAGGTTCCCTCAGTCCCGAGGCGCAGAGCCCGGGGTCCCCGTCTCCTGGGGGCCGCGGGCAAACCAGCATGGAGAGGCCCTAACCTGCGGCATGCTGCGCTGCCCCCGCCCCCGGCTGGCCTGGCCCCGTGCCATCGTGGCCGCTGCTGGGCCCAGGCGCGGTTCACAACATCGCTGCGGGACAAAGCTGGCGGCGGGTGCGAGAGCGCGGGGCTGGACCCGTCTCTTTCTGGCCTGTTCTGATCTAGGAGCTTTTTGGGATCAGGACAGGCAAGGTCCGGTGGGTCCCTGCTGCATAGTGAGGGGGGTAGCCCTGATGGGAGCGTTTCCCACTTAGCTCCCCCTTAGGCTGCTGCACAGGAAGGGTTAGGGATTTCCCCCCCCCAGGTAACAGAAGAAAGCCCTGTCCTGCTGGCCAATGACTTTAGCAGGAACCTTGACTCCTTATCACAGTCCTTTTAACTTAGTTTGCATTATGCTTTAACTTTGCCCAGCTTTCCTAATCAGCATTAGGTAACGTGCCTTTGAACTCTTGTTCCCTTGAACCACTTTAGGCAGGGTACATCTTTGCACATCCCTGCATGGCATATGAAAAGAAATGCTACCTTTTATTTATCTGTTTCCTATGCTGTTAATTTTATTGATGCATCTTTTGTATTTTGAAAGTGAGTGAAAGGACAGATCTGATATGTGTTAAGATTTTTTTTTTTTCAAATTGCTCTCCTAAGCCCCCTCAACATTATACGCATTTGAATGATAATGCAGCAAATAAATACTGGGATGGATGTTGGTGGGGGGAGAAGTAAGGTAGGTGTATTGAATAGGGTGAGAGGCAAGGATTCTTTTTAATATCTCTTATTGAACCAACTGTATAGCTGGGAGACCTGTTGGGCAAGCTTTTGAGTACCAGGTGCTATTTCTCAGGTGACATAGGGACCTCAGGTTTAAAGTGATAATATAATCAAATTTGACAAATTAGCCATTATAAGTAACTTCACTGCAATCTTATTAGGCTGCACATTTGAGCCTAGTGCCAGAGTGTAATTGATGTGTACACAAAACATGTTAGTTAATTCATCAACTGTTAAAGCATAATTGGTCCTCTCCAATCAAGGGCCCAAGTTGTGATCGAGGCCAACTACACAAATGTCATATCCCTTGTAGGTTGCAAATTGACATTGCATTTGAAGTGATCTTGATTGTTCTATATTTTGACCTGTATAAAAACAGAACCATAAACATCATACAGAAGTAAAGCTGGAAGGGACCTCCGGAGGTCATCCGGCCCAACCCCCCTGCCTAAGGCAAGATCATCCCTATCCAAGCCATCCTATAGAAATCTATGAACTAAACTTCTTGTAAAGATTGTTAACAAGACCTAACACCTTAACTTGGCCCAGGTAAAGCAGGGGAACTACAACAGCCAATGTCCTGATTCTATAAAGTTGTTAATATGACCCTCAGGATCCCTTGCAGAGGGCCATGCCCCCTGCTACAGAGGGGGACAAAGCCCCCTGCAAACCAGTCTGACCATGGGGTACATTTTCTTCCTGACCCCAAATATGGTGATTGATCTGACCCTGGGTGGAGGGGCAAGATGCCTTAGCCAGGAACCCCCAGCTTCAGTCCCATTAGGAGCATTGCCACATCCCAGTCAAAATCCCCAGCCTTGGTTGCAGCCAACAGCCAGTGACTGAGGAAGGCTTAGTAACACCCTGACACATGTGGCAGAAAGGTAGGGAGGGGACAACCAGCAAAGCCCAAGAACATGGGGGATACTCATAATAAAACATAGGCACAATCACTAGGGTTGCACTGATAAAGATTTTCTTGGCTGATACCAATAGCTAATGATTAACCAACCATATTGGCCAATGCCCATCTGATAACCAATATTTAGTAATAGTGCAAGGTATTTTAAATTACTGCCATAAACTTTTTTCTTGTTTGTTTTGCATTTGTAACACGTGCCTCCTGCCTGCCCTAGCCCTTGATGAGGAAGGCAGCGACTGCCTTATTATCATGCATGTTGCCCCCTCACCCACAGCTCCTATCCACAGCCCCACTACCCATGCAGCCCATGCTGCCATCCTGGGCAGGGTGGACCATGCGTGGACAGCAGTGTTGGGCACGTTTGGAGCCCCAGAACATGCTGCTGTCTCAGTACTGGTGGGCCCCACAACTGAGCTCCCACAGCTGACAGGGAGAAGCCACTTCTGCAAAGACTCCTGGTGCCCAACGGAGCAGAATATCCCTTGCGCAGCACCTTACCCCACCTGCACGCAGCCCAACATTTTTGCCACAGCCCTGGCACTCAGGCCCCTGCTGCGTGAGCGGCGTTGCCATAGCAGGAGCCAATAATAGTCCCTTTGTTGCTGAGCACAGTGCCCTGTGACCGTTCCCCAGCGCCCCCTCCCCTTCCCGCTGCTTGCTGGGACCTGTAGTCTGCTGCAGGCTTGGGCTGACAATGAGGCGCAGGGGCTGGACTATGCTCACCAGGGTGCTCTGGACATATGGCCGTAATTATTTGCTACAACAACCAAAAAAGCCGATAGTCAATAACATCATTTCTCCTTTTATTGGTACTGATTTGATAGCCAACCAATATAAAAATCGGTGCATCCCTAATGCCTATATCTTCCATAACCAGTGACTGTCCAACTTCTTGAACGCTCTTCATCAAGCGATGACAAGTCAATCTGTTCCACAGCTTCACTCTTCTAACAGTGAAGAAGTTTGCCCTGATAACCTACCTAAGTCTACTTTGGTGCAACTTCAAGACAGTGGTCCATATGCTCCTCTCTGCAGTGAGAAAAGGTGCTTTCCCTCTTCTTTATGGCAGCCCCTCAAGTATTTGAAGACTGCTATCATGTCCCCTCTTAAGTGCCTTTTCTGCAAGCTGAACATGCTGAGCTCTTTCAGCCTCTCCTTGTACGAGTTGCTTTCTAAGCCCTTTATCAACTTTATCCCTGCCTCTTGACTCTGTCTAACTTCTCCATGTCCTTTTTAAAATGCAGAGCCCAAAACTATACCCATTACCCTAGGTGAGACCTAATCAGTGCCAAGTACAGAGGCAATATCATCTCCTGGGTCTTGCACCCACTACTTCTATTAATGCATCCCAAAACTGCATTCACCTTGTGTGCGACTATCACATTGCAAATTCATTTTGAGTCTGATCTAACAAGACTCCCAGATCTTTCTCCATAATGCTGCCATTCAGCCAGGTATAACCAATTTTATATTTTTGATTATTCTTCCTGAATAATCACTTTGAATGCGTCTGCAAGAACTTCATCTTGTTAGCTTCAGCCCAGCTTTTTAATCTGTCAAGTTCCTTCTTAATTGCACTCCTGTCCTCCACCATTTTTGCAGTCCTTCCTAGTTTTGTGTCACTTGAAGACTTCCTCAAAAAGCTTTCTATGCCAGAATCCAAATCATGAACAAACACATTGAACAGCACTGGGCTCTGGGCAGACCCCTGTGGGACTCCTCTCATAACTTCCTGCCATTCTGACAGGCCTAAATTTCTGTCCAGAAAAATACCCTAACAAAATACTTCAATGTGGAGAACTAGAAGAATTCTTCTGATGCCTGCGCCTCAAAGAATATTTTCACGACCAAACTGAACCCACTCCCAACAACAACTCATCCTCTGACAACATTCAGGAAAGGATCAATGCCAAAAAGCCCAAAAAATCCATCAGACTGGACACCTCGCAGTAGACGAAACCCTAACCTTGACTGCTACATTGACTGCTTCAGGGAAAGAATGAACAATGAAATAATCA